AAGCGAACGTAAACAGCGCTGCGACTCCAGCAGGGATCATCGACATTCGTCGCTATGTCTACACGGAGCTGCCTATCTGCCGTTTCTTACATTTGAGCAGGATGGTACGTGGACTGCCCGACGTCCAGATCGAATGTACACGGTATCTCCTCGCGACACGGAGCGATACGCTCTTAGAAATCTTCTTCTGTTGTTCGCGGAACCATATCATTTAAACGACTGCGTACTGTCGTCGACGAAAACGGCAATGCGGTTGTACATCTTTTTGTGGTTGCAGTATAAAAGGTGGGATACCTTTTATACTGCAACCACAGCTCTAGGACTTTTCGACGATGACGATCCCACAATGCCAGTCTACGAGAAACTGCGCTATTCGCTACAGCTTTGCAAAAGCGGACTCTTTTTTGTCTCCATGCTCGCATTTATGGAAGTGAAGGACCCGGCGTTGTTGTAACTTTCAAGAGCAATTTCATCGACGACTACCTTTACGAAAGCATGTCCGGGGAAGAAGCCATTGCCGCAGCCTATTACGACCTTGAGGAGCGACTTATCAAAAGCAATATCAATATTGTCTTATTCAACATTCCCACACCGTCGTTAGGCCGTCGTCCGTGACTCATGCGTACGATACTGCATTTTGCTTAGCCGAAGGTAATCGCTTATATGGAACTTACTTTAAATTCACAGCAAAAGACAGCGGTGACACCATTATTGGTTCTCTTGATGGCCCAGACAATTCGAAGTTTTTTTTTTCATTGATGGTCTCGGCGGTTCAGGTAAAACGTAGACCTATACATGCCCTTCAATATCCTCGTCGGTAGGGTGCAAAGTCGCGTGTGCAGTGTGGACGGGAATTGCGGCCAACCTGCTCCCGTCAGGTTTCAAAACGGTGTCGTTGTTCAAGCTCAATATCATGAACAACTGCAAGACATCATCCCACAAAAGGCAAATGAAGGGCGCAGACTGCTTGCCGAAAACGACGTCATCAGGGACGAAGCCTCTATGTTCCCAAAAACGGCTTTTGAGACGGTGGATGCTGTACTGCGCGACATCATGCAAGTCGACAAGCCCTTCGGTGGAAAGATGGTTGTTCTCGGAGGTGACTTTAGACAGATCTTACCAGTTGTTCGTAGCGGATCGCGAGCAGAGCAACTAAACATGTGCATTAAGCAGTCTTCCCTTTGATCGCATCTCACAGTACTCCGCCTTTCCGAAAACATGCGAGTGACGAACCGCGATGCAGACTGGAAGGACTTCCTACTGCGCGTGGGCAACGGCACCGCCAATGATAGCCAAGGGCGCGTGCAGCTGCCAACGGAAGTCATGGGTCGAGGAGATATAGTCCAGGAGCTATACAGCGACTGCTTACAATAACTGATTTGTCTGATCAAGCTATCCTTGCTCCCAAGAACACCGACGTGAATTCCATAAACGAGCAAGTTTTACATGCATACAAGGTGAAGAAATGATCTACTATTCTCACTGGAAATCTAACATACCCAGATACATACTAATAAATACTTTTACTTCAGAAGTACTTAGAATTTATAGAAACTGTTCTGGCTATCTAGAGTTTAAGGAAAGAGTAATAGATCTAGGTAAGATATCCAAAAATAATGGATGGGAAGGTAGTTACTTCATAAATATCGTATACCATACCTTACATGACAGGCCATTTATTTTAGTAAGTATGGTTTTCCTACGGCTATTCATCTCCCTTTGATACATGACCTACAAGAATTGTGGACTAAAGATAACGCGCCGGAATAGCAAGGTCACATTCAAATTGAGTTGATGCATGCCATCGTGTCTATCAATCTCTTTGTGCTCATGTTCGCCATCCTCTACGCTGCATCTGTTATATTTTGTTAAATTGGCTAACTCTCATAATTGTTTCTGGCTCGTTACCACTCTTTAGTAATCGTGTTTATGAATACCTTTTGAAGCTTTCTTGGGAACTACTGATGATGGGGCACCAAGAAAGTTACACTACCGGTCTAGTTCTTAGCCCCGAAACCGGTCGTGTAAAAAACAGTAGTTACCTTTCGGATGTTTTGGAATTCTTGAAATGTTCTTTCTCATTGTGGACTTATCTCTTTGTTTTTGTCACCGAGGACGCTAACGACCAGAATCAATTTTATACTACCGAATTCCTCAGCAAGATCTCTAGCTCCTCCTTGCCGCCGCACTATCTCAGGTTGATAAAGGGCGCTATCGTCATGCTGCTTCGAAACTTGGGCTTTTCTTCTGGGCTATGCAACGGAATACAACTACAGTTCTGCGATGGCCGTCTCATACAATGCAAATTCATAACGGGTAATGGCATGGGCAGTCAGTCGTGTTTTCGAGGATACACAACTACGGCGACAAGAATCTGCCCTTCAGACTCCGGCGCTCCCAATTTTCCGTCAAACTAGCGCTCGCTATGAGCATCAACAAGGCCCAAAGTCAATCCTTTAGCAAAGTTGAATAATGGCTTCCCACCGATGTTTTCAGTCACAGTCAACTCTATGTGGCCCTCAGCCACCAATCCAAAGCTAGTCAACGTCGTTTTTACAGAAGTTCTGTAAAGTTATACACTCTGAGAATTTTGCTGTTATGAATGTTTTTTGTTACTGTTGTTGTGTCATGGGCCTTTCTGTTGTACTTCATGTTGTTGTTGGCATCTACTTTCTTGGTGTAGTCATTGTTACAGGCATTCTATGTTGTTGTTGACTGCATACTATTTGTTGCTTAAGATGTTGATTCAATAAACCCGCAGGTCCAATATCATGTCTTTGGTCTGTGGATCTAAACAGGTCATAAAAAGAAGTAATTCGTCCGAACAGGCAATCAAATGGCTTAATCTTACATTAGTATACATTGAAGACAGTGTCTCACCAAAATTTAGTTGCCCAGATTTTTGCATTTTGCAAGCCTGTCGGACCCTGTCCAGCGCTGTATGGGCTTGAAATCGCACGAAGTTCCCAAAAACCCCGTTTTCTGGAGGCCCCGCGGAGGCAACGTGGACGAGTTGTACCTGCCAACTTCAGCCTCAGCCACAGTGGCAGCGATAGAAGGGAAGGGGATGCCATGTGGAGGGACATGTTCAAACGCGTAAGGGGGGAAACCGAAGGAGTCGTAGTCCGCGCGTACCCAGTCTGGGCGTACCACTTTGAGCGAATTTTTCTCAGCATGGAGGGGGTCAAATTGAATGGGACTTGTTGCAATGGCCTATTTAGAGGTCCCCATGATAGAATATGTGAAGACCGCGACCTCAACTTTGATGAGATACTGCCTTTAAAATGAAAAGTGTACAAGGCAGCGAAGCTGCCGAGTACCAGCCGAACCTGCCTCGTGGCGGCAGTGAGCGGCTGTTTTTTTTTTCATATTTGCACAAAGTGTACTGACGGAAATAATGTTATTGCGACAACAATTGCGTTTAGGAAGACGGTACGAGCAAACTAAAGGAGATGCGCTCAAGGTGCTTTTTGCGCGCGAGTGTTGTCAGCACCGCAAGGGAGGGAGGGAGCATCTTACGAGGGAGGTCCGATTAGTCGAAGATGCTATCCCAAATGAGTCTTAAACCACCTTTAAGGGCATCAAACGTTAACTCCAAATCTGACTTTTCTGCCGAGCCCCTCTGCATGCCGAATTATGAATATTTTTCTGGTGCGAAAAAGGTACGCATAATCTAGGTAAAATCAAATTTTACGGTGTTTTCAGCGCTCAAATGGTAGTGTTAAGTATAGGTATTTTGAACAGAAGGTATGGTTCAAATAAAGTGCTCTGGTAATCAACATAGGACCATTTGTGCATTTCTGACGAATTTTGTGCTAAATATGATTTCAATTTTTTAACTCAGAAACGCTCATAACTGGACGTCAGAGGCGCACGGCAGATAACGAGAACAGATTTGAAATCAGCGTTCGATACTTTTAAAAGTCGTATCAATTTTATGTGAAAAGGCCACTTCGACCGAAATGACCTCCCTTGTTAGTTGATTTACTAGAGTGGAGTGATTTCTTCCGCTGAAGCAGACAGTGTATATGGTATAAGTTTGCAGTGGCTGCTATAGTGTGGACCCCGGCTAGGTTCCCATAGGTACTTCCGCAACGGGCACGCAGCGCGCGCCCTTCTCAATGCCTCTTGCCTCACTCATGAGCAGTAGAGCATATTTATGCTCACGAAGGAGAAAAATGCAAAGTGGAAACCTCTAGCTTCCCCTCGAAAGAGACGTATGCAAGAATGAAACGCAGGCAACTTTCATGAATACCTTAGATTCAATCAATGGATGCATATTCCGAACTGGCACTGATGGATAGGTTGTAATAACTATACGTGAAAAATTAAAGAACGACAGCATTCTTAAATCGTTTCTCTTCGTAAACGTAGAAACTAGAGTGGTCAAAGATTCCAAAAAAATAGATATTTCAGTAAACAAACGCCTAGTGGCTTCTCGGAAGGCTCAATTTTGACTTGAGACACTGTCTAAACCTTACACATCAAACCGAAACGGACTCTTACTCAATAAAAGAAACTTTGAGGAAATATTATCTTAATATTCAATCAAATCTCAATTATTCAGAGAAAAAAATGGAAAACACAAGACCATCACACAAGATTGAGGCTCTTAAAGCTATTCAGAGCACGTGAAATCTCGTCACCGGTCATCGCGCATTGTTTATACCTAAAATAGAGAGGATATAGTACACCAAAAACAAAAAAGCAGAGAGAGAAAGGAGGATTTCCCTCAGAAACACAGGAGACGCACTGAAGGCGTGCGTTGCGGGTGCGTCGCGCAGGTACCTATGGGAAGCTGGCCGGGGTCCACACTATAACATACAAAGAGTTTTCGCGCCTTGTCAGTTTCCCCCCCCCCCCCACTTTGGCCCCCTTGCTCCATGCTCGCGTACAAATAGAATCTGCGTAATTCTGAGCTTTTAATTTCTGAAAAGCAGCGAAGCAGGAAACGCTCTGATAACTCCTTGAAACGCTTTTGAAAATAAAAGCTCTCTTACTAGGTTTCATTGGTGCAAACTCTTCCTTAGTGAGACGGATGTCTTCGTACTCATGGCCAGCAACAGCAAATATCTGCAGAAAACTTTTCGATATTTTTGACTGAAAAGGAAACGTCATTAGTTTACCTGTCGTGCACACTCGCCATTTCCACGCCCGTTGAAGTAATAAAGCTTGTATTGCACCATGTCTGATTCTGTAACTATGAAGAATGAACATTGCACTAGGAAATCCCAAATATTCATCTTATTCATTGTTATGGAGAAAAGACTGCGTATAGGAGGTGATTCGGATGATAAGGGATGAGATAAAGCAAAAATAATCGCATTAAACTGATGAACTATTTGTGCTTTCTAACAAAAACAAAAAATGTAGCGAAAATCTTTGCAAAGATTTTTAACGCTTTTTCACTCAGCCAATTCGAAAGACGTGCTAAAATTTTGCCTAGAAGGGTTGCTTGGCACGCTGTTCACCAACATGTTGTTTACGCTCGGTAGACTTTTACGGGTAGGGGAACGAACTCCGCCAATTTGGCCCGCCTTCGCTGGCAACTGGTCCTTTCGCAGTGTTGTTGCATGTCGTTGCAGGACCTCGCCAGTAGTCCCCAGAGGCGGTCCAAACTGGCGGGGTTCGTTCCCCTACCCGGCTTCAATGATTACGATGGTTATGGCAGATGTTCCAACTTTAGATTTGTTTGGAGAGGGGGGGGGGAAGAGTCAGCACGTGATTACGACTATGATGTTCTGCGTCCTAAGAACTTCACCTATCAAAAAGATCTCTTCGGGGGGCTACCTGTGATAAAATGGCATGCTAAAACCAGCCCTCTCCCCCTCCCTCTCCTCTCCCACCGAACAAAGTCTTGAAGATTTTGGGGTTTTGATCAATCTACCGTACACCCATCGTAGCCTCAGAATATGGTGCCATCGCGCGAAATTGAAATATGGTATCAGCGATAGTTCGCGTAGGGGTGAAGTTACAGCGAAATCCGTGATTTCGATATTCTGACGTTAAATGAACTAGCAACGAAATTTTTTCAAGATTAGAACAAATCATTTATCACCTGTTGTATTTTCCAACTGTTTTTCATCCTGCGTTACTACCATAATGATGCATGTCGAAAAAATAGCAATCGAATACCAGAAACCCATGATGAATTTGGTAGCCTCACTATAGCCGCAAGTAGCACAAGGACGTCACGGATATGAATGACAACCCTATCATCTCTACCCCGAGCAAATTTTGGTCACTGAACTAGTTTACCAAGGTCGCTCCCGAAAAAAGGCGTTGTTTTATGGAAGCAAACAAAGGAGCAGTCACGAGACCATAGCTGCTAAGACCTTAGCGTGACAGAATCGTTTACTCAATAATCAGCCGCAACTGCAAAAGTTGCAAGGTCTCATAATCCATTAAATGTGCACATTCACTTGCAAATGCCCTGGTGCGCAGCGGCTACGGTGGGTATACGGTTAGGTCAATCGCAAGCGCCCAAAACTTTGTCTACGGGCTCTCATATGCTGGGTTCGATTATGATAAGATAAAATGTTGCACATAATAATCTTGCTTGTGAGATGATGCTAGGTATTTTGAGAAAAATTAGCAAGTCTTGCAATTTTGACCCTCTGCCGTAAACGTACCGTTCCGAACTTCACAAAATTCTATTCAAGATCCTAAGATTATAAGTTTCGCTTATACTTAACCCATGGTTATTTTTCGATTCCTGTTGAAGGCAGACCCATTATTGCATATCATTGCGCCGTAAAGTCATCCCTGGGGTTACGGTGAGTATACGGTGGGTGGGTTGGTCTCAGATTTACTCAGGTAATTGCCTACAACATGCTGAATAAATAAATAAATAATCACGATCGTTATAGGATAAAAGCTCGCGAAAGGAGGCCTTTTTTGCGAACTTGGTCGTAATCAGCATGCTGAAAAACCTCCTCCACAAAGTTTTGGGCAAATTCGTTGCACACCTAAAGTATACCCACTGTAACCGTAAAGATTGCCCTACCATCCACATCAATACAATATCTGTGATGACTGAGTAGCCTGGTAAATTCCCTCCTGGGCAAGATTATAGCGCAGTGTAACTAGTCCGGGGAAGCCATTCTATCGTTCATTTTTTCCAAAAGCGCATCATCTTTTGCTGTTTTGAAGGTAAACTTATAAAATAAGATTTAAGAGGTCCATTCAATCAATGTTAAGTAAACTTTTTGTTAGTTTCGAGTGCCACAATATTGTTCATTGAATTCACACTCGTGCTGTGTACACTCTCGTTTATAAGCGTAAGAACAAATAATGTGCATCTTTCTTGCTAAATACGCTCCCATGGCTGATTCTCACAAAAATCGCAAAATAAACTAAAGAAGGAAAAAATGTGAGAGAAATTACAACAGCAGCCGCAGCAGTGAGGGAAACGAGCGGTTTGGCTGCTTTTTTTGGCTGTACTTTCTGGGACGATCGATTGCTGCACAGCAAACGATTTCTGCAAAATTGCACGTGTACAAGGGTTTTTGTTTACGGATTTTATTGTGTACGCAAAAGAGGCAGTGCTTTTTCAAATTCCTTATGCATTATTTAGCTCGTCTTTCAGCTGTGAAAAACCTGAAAAGGAGACAATTCAGTACTGTTTTATATTTGTTGAATAAAAAAGTCCTTTCTCAAAGCAATTTTGGATATTTCAGTATATCAATATCTCCGCACGCATAAAATAGTCTAGAACTTCCGCAATACGTAACGAAACTTTCGCAGTTAGCCAGTTCAAGTTTGTAGGTTTTGAGCCAAGCCAATTTGAGTTTGTAGATTTTACCTCAAAGACACGATAGCTTTTCTAGCTCTCTTCAGAAGTTGGTTCGAACAGTTCCATACTACCTGACCTCTTTCAGGCGTTCGACCTGCTATTTAGAGATGCTTAGAATGGTTTTGAGCTAGAAGTCCAGTCCTGCCTCAAAAATGATTCTATCCAATCTACCACAAAGATTAAAATCGGATTTTTGCTAACATCGGAATGAAAATAGGTGTTGAAACTATTGCTAGCGATTTATTTGACTAAACGACGATATGGATTGGAGGACACATACTGAATGGTCGAAGCTCCTAGGCTGTGTCGAAATTTGCCCTGAAAGTGCATTCTGAAAATCATTTTTCACAAATTAGATTTGAAAAAATCATTCGAACTTGGTTTTCTCCAACTATGCTTAGGCATCTGTATGAGTGCGCGTTTAGCAAATTTGAGCTTTTCAATGAATGAGATTAGATTTGCAATTCAGTATTGCATACTTTACCCCTTTAGCTTAGTTTCAACACGTGATCTGCAGATTTTTGGGCAAGCCAGACATCAAAGAGCAGCCGTAGTTCATCCAAAAAGGCTTAGCTCATGTGTCTATGTCCTCTCTTTCCCATCCGAGAGAGAGAGAGAAGGATACGGTCAAGTGGTATTGAGGAAGCTACACTTATTGGTATGAGGTCATCAAGTAATGAGATTTCTTGAGGGATTCCAAGCAAGAATCTACGAATTCAATAAAAAAGGAGTATCATAATGATCCTGTCTATTGCACCTGCTGTTTCCATTTGGCAATTTTCTTGCACCAAAACTGCAAATCTTTTTTCTTCGACTCTTCGCAATAATAAGGGCAAAGCAGTAGTCACAAATAACTTGACAGCTTTTTACTGCTATTGTGTCATGAAGGATCGGAGCGGTATAACTGTTTTTGTGAACAAATTCGATAACTTGCTCTACAATCTTTTTATACTATCGTGACTATCATGGTTGTGTAAAGCCCTATAATGGCTTGCATTTAATTCACCAGCAGGTACTGTTCTACAATTACAAAATCATGCGGAGTATATTTTGAGTAAATAAAAAACTACACTTTTTAGACTTCTATATCGACATCACTAGAGCCCAATACGCATGGTCTGCAAGTTTCAGTTTCTCGTGCCTTTTTACAGAATTGGACAACAATGAATTACATTCCTTGACCGTCAGTGTGTACACTACTGCTCTCGTTTTCCAAGCTGTTAAAGTACGAACAAAGTGTGATAAAGTGATTTGCCTGCAGAGCGCTGCAAACATAGCAGTATAAGAAAACTGCACTTGTCATGAGACTGAGAAAAACTGTGTTCTATCACCTTTCTAATGAAAAGAAAAAGAAGGCTTGTTTGGGAGCTCATACTATAAAAGGGGTGATTTTTGAATATTGAAGGCAAGTTAATGGGGTCAGGCGCAACCCCTTGAAAGCTCAGGCGGCCTGACCTTTTGAAGGATTGCGCCTGACCCCATTAACTTTATCTCCGAAGAAGCTTTTCTACTCAAGTTTTATGTGATTCGTTAGCTCAACCCTCGAAGATTCAACAGTAAGTGTTTGAGCTTGAGTCGACTTGTTTCGGCCTTGTGCCAATCCGAGGAGTTGAAGTACTCTGTGAAAAACGTGCCGGTTGGAATTTTGGCTGCACTTCTTACTTCACTGTTTGAAAGCGATATGAAACCTGATTTCTAGCATAGACTTGTAGTGAATATTACTTTGTTGTGAGTATAGAAAAGCTTACATATTTCACTTTTAAAACCAAGTTAATCATGTTTGTAAATCACGTTTTTTGGACGTTGAGAAATACTAGAAAATGCAGAGGCAATGGTTTGTAGAGCGCATAGAGGTAATTTGACATGCTAGTTATGGAAAGATTCAGCATTTTACACAGCATTCCTTGTCAACCTCATGATCTCTCAAGGTAAAATATGAAATTTAAATTTTGGCTAACTTCGATTTGGAAACATCAGTATGCTGCTAACGGCCTTCATTTCTTTGGGTGATTGTGATATCCACCGGACTAGCGCATTTCTTCTTTACCTTCGTAGTGTGTCTCCCCAACTGAACAAATCGAATCTTACTCAGACAATAACTCGGACTAGCGGCGGGCCTTAAAGGCAGTGTCCGGGCAAAAACTCGATTTTGAGATTTTGTGCTTATACGGGCCTATTCGCCATGCTGAATCCGAAAATCCACATTGGAAAGCGAGAGAACGGCGAAAAGGGGCTCTAATATAGGAGGGAAATCAGCAGGTGGGCGGGGCTTTCCCCAGTGCGATTGCACGCTCCTAGCTCCCGGAGCGATTTTCTCGATTCCGCTAGCCGTTCTAACATCGCTACCGGCCAAGTGCGAATGACTGACTTGAAATTGGAAGCGAGAAGGTCGCTCCGGAAGCCGGGAACGTGAATTCGCAGTGGGGAGGACTCTGCCCACCTACTCATTTCCCTCCTGTGTTAGAGCCGGTTTTCGCCATTTTCGCCTCTACAATGTGCATTTTCGGATTCAGCGTAGCGAATAAGCCCAAGTACGCATAAAATCTCAAAATCGAGTTTTTGCCCGGACACTGCCTTTAACGGCTTTCCGGGCGAGCGGCGGGCCTTAACGGCTTTCCGGGCGAGAGGCGAGCTTTAATTTGTGGTCGTGGCTTTCTTGCGGACCAGCGGCGTATCCTCGCTACCGAGCTTGCAAGCTGCGGGCCTTGATTTGACCAGCGGCGGCCCATCCCCTCAAGCGGGTGGGCAGCGTACCATCATTATCATACCCTTATCTTACATCATCTTGAAGTTCTCTCATTGCAGTGTTCTTCATTTTGTTAATGCTGTTTTCATGGCCTGGTGTGGCTATTTGAGCTGCTAAAATGATTTGAGGTTACCGGTTGCCGATGTATCACATGAACTTCTCTCCGCATTCATTACACCCCAGAAAGTGGAAGTGAGGAAAGAAGCGGATACAAAGAAATGAATTTCAACTATGACAGCGACTAATTCCTGGCATATGCAGGGAGCCGACCTTTTAGGAGGATTTTCGATAACAAAAGGTTGGGTTCTTCTGCAAAGCTATAGAGGTAACAAAAAGTAACGATAAGTCTGAGGTGGACGAAGTTAGAAGTAGGTTTACGTTTGATCGTGTTAAAAGCAAGTGCATCACGATGTTTCAGAATCGTATTTTCAATGCGTATCTGCACAGATCGCAAGTAAAGGGTTATCCGAGTGAAAATTGGAGCTGATTCCGCGACCTTTTTTTACATGATTCGCTCTTCTTAGAAATTCAGGAACTTGTATATACTACTAACTGGCTTACCCGGCTCCGCCGTATCCGGACCAAACTTGGCACACATACACTTCGGGCCCCGGCGGGTGTCACAGTCCACTTTTCGTTATCGATCGATGTCGATTTTACCGATTTTTATCGATTTTTTTGCAGAGTTCACCTACAGGGCTAGGAGTTGGCACAGGGGGGGGGGGGGAAGTGAGCATGGGGATTCCGAATACAATATTAGTTTTCAGAATTATCGATTACTTTTATTGATTTTATCGATTTTTTGTAAATTTTGACATGCGAGGCTGTGATTTTGCACAGGGGGGTAATCGAGCATGCTGATTACGAACACTATATTAGTTTTCAGGATCGTCCATTACTTTTATCGATTTTATCGATTTTTTGAAAATTTGAGCTAGGGGGCTGGAATTTGGCACAGGGGTGTAATCGAGCATGCTGATCACCCCCCTTGGGGATGATCAGCATGCTCGATTACCCCCCTGTGCCAACTCCCAGCCCCGTAGGTGAACTCAGCAAAAAAATCGATAAAAATCGATAAAATCGATCTCGATCGATGACGAAAAGTAGCCTATGACACCCGCCGGGGCCCGAAGTGTATGTGTGCCAAGTTTGGTCCGGATCGGTTCAGAAATGGAATTTTCTATTCGGAACATACGTACACACATACATACATACATACATACATACATACATACATACAGACAGACAGACATACAAACAGACATTCAGCTTTATATATAAGATTCAGTCTCTTATAGGGGCTCTGCGACATCTGTTTCCCTCTGTAAAAGCAGATCCACGTCAACTACCATTATCTTGTTTCATATACGGCGGCTGGAAGATCACTTGTCATTTTCTGTGTTTTGTGTTGTTGATTACGAGTTCTAATAAACTGATCAGTGAAATGCGTTGTAGGAATCATACTGTGTGTCCATAGCTAAAGTTGCAGACTATAAGCAGTAGGCAGCAGACTGTCGGATCCTTGTAGTTCTGTAAAAAGAGGGCTGGAGGCGGGAAGCATGATTAGAAGCCCGCCAAAGGCACTCCGCTTGTGCGGTTTGATGTACGAGCGGGCGAGCGGAATACTATTAGCGGGAGAGTGGCGGGAAGCATGATGGTCGCCCGTTAAAGGTACTCCGCTGCTCGCTTTATATCCCCAGCGGGCGGTCGGCGTGCCTCTAAAGGACGAGCGGCGGGAGGCATGATCGCCCGCCCGGTAGAGGCCCGCCGCTCGTCCGAGTTATTGGTGAGTAATTACGACTCCCTCCCTCAGTTTTACCCTCAATACGACCCCCTCGGTCGGGCGCGCCTGACTCCACGCTCAACCCTGATGGCAAGTCATATATCCGGATACGAACCTATTTTGGGTACTATTCCACATTAATTGGCCCAAAAAATGAAAACCGTGAATTTCGCCAGAACTTCTTCTAGGGGGGGGGGGGTTATTTGGTATGCTAAACACGAATATGATGTTTATTTCGTGCGACAGCGCCATCCGGTGGAGTTACGGTTGGGTTACGGCATAGGGTCAAAATCACGGATTTGCCCGAAATTTGGCCCAGAGGGGTTATTCGGCCCGTTGATACCAAATATCACATTGGTTTTGAACCCTAGCAACATTTTCACGGGTTACGGTAGCTACACGGAAACGGGTGTAAGATATAGTTCTGCCTGAAACGGGTGTACGGCGATTCGGACGATCGTGAAGCTTTACACACACGACCACCGCTGCGCGCTACACACCCTGCTGCGGCTTTTGCCTAAGCAAAGCACAGGGGAAAAATACATTTGCTGATTCGTGATTTTGACCCCTACCGCAAACCTACCGTAACCATGCAGGGAGACGTTTTCGTGCGGTAAAAGTGTAACATTTCTAATCACCATGTCGAATAACCCCTCTGTGCGAAATTGCAGCGGATTTTGAGATTTTGACCCCTCACCGTATACTACCCACCGCAACCCCGAGAAAAACGCTACGGTACAAAACCAATGTGATATTCAGCATCAGCGGGCCGAATAACCCCTCTGGGCCAAGTCTCGGGCAAATCCGTGATTCTGACCCTCCACCGTAATCCTAGCGTAACTCTACCGGATGGCACTGTCGCACGAAATAAACATCACCAGTGCTTCACCTCTGCTTCGCAGAGGTTCGCACTGGCCGTTATGAACCGTGGTAAACTCACTTTCTGAGAGCTTGTCTCTCAAGTCATGTTCGGTTCACTGCAACGTGAGAGCCGTAGTTAAAAATGAACCATACCATATCTTAACCTCACATGCTGTTTGGTATTGTAAATCATTCCTCACTGTAATTTCGTAACGGACAAACTCCACACAACTTCAGATTAAGCCGCTTATTATAATAAACATCATATTCGTGTTCAGCGTACCAAATAAACTCCCTAAACGAAGTTTTAGTGAAGTTCACGATTTTCATTTTTTGGGTCAGCTAATGTGGAATAGCGCCTAAAACATAGGTCTACAGCTCCCGTCAATGTACCCAGTGTGGCAAAAGATTGAAAGTCAAAAAGAAATTTGTAAATGTTGTTCTTACAGTCAGAGCCGGATGGTGCTCCCACACTCCCATAGAACCGATCTTAGCCAGCTACTTTTTTCTAGTCACATGACATGGCGACACGAAGTTCTCCTTAGCAAACTAAAATAATGTTAAGCAGGAGAAAAATCCCAGCCCGTCAAAGCATGAAAGTCTTTTCTTCAGTGGGATAAACCAAGGACAGGCAGAGCCATCGACCATGATGATCCCGAGACGATTAGGCGCCATGACGCGGCGATTGGTGGATTCAAATAAGTTGTGTCATTTGAAGTCGTCCTTTTCCTTTATTCTTTGGTTGAACGTATCTCATCATGTGTTGTTCTATCACTTCATCTTGTGCGGTAGGGTAATGTTCAGTTTCCATTTTTCCTTAATTTGTCAGTGCTCTTTATAGACATGAGTATGGGTTTGATTTGGGTCCATATTCCTGAAACCCTTGCGCTTATCTGCTTTGATGGGCTGTCCTCGTGAAATCGGATAGAACCAACCATATAATGTTTATTGTGAGACCAACAATAAGAGTCTTAGAACTGCTTTGTTTAAACAAGCTTGGGATTGATCTTCTTTGGTACTGATTATAGTGAGTCGTGTTAGATGAGATAAATTACGAGAAACTTTTAGATGAGATAAATTACGAAAAACTCTTGATACACGTTCAAGCTTGTTCAAACAATATGTGCAAAGCGATTTTGAGTCTTCTAAGGGCAGATAAACCACTATATGTCGGAGTCGGACGGTGACACTAGATACCGTATTCCACGCGCGCGCCGGGGCCACCCGAGCTTGGCATGAGCTTGGCATGAAGCCAACTGCACACCGCGATGCCCTTTTTGCTACATTATTTATTTATTTATTTATTTATTGAAACGTGCTCACACACGCATGTTGATAGTATGAACAAGAAATAACCTGAAAATCAAGAGACCAACGAACCAGAGGTAGAAAAATGAACAATAAAGTAAAGAGAGGAAAAGCAATAACAAACAAACAAACGAAATGAAAACAAGTGATAAACAAATGCAATCAATCAGTGATCAGGAAGTGGGATGACTTGCAAGTGTAAAGACTTGGGCCAATGTAGTTTGAAAAGCGTCTTGGGTTAGCAATTTATTTAAGTCAGGCAGTATTCTTGCAGCGAAAAACTTTGATCTTACAAGTGTTTTAGCTTTTGGGGCTCTGAGTTTCAACGCACCCCCTCTGGTCCTTGAAGGATAAACGTCAAAAAACCTGGTTGAACCAATCTTACATCTACCAGTTAAGATCTTCAAAGCCATCGAAAGATCGAACTTCTTCCTTCTAAGCGCTAAGCTAGGAAGAGATAACAATTTAGCACGTTCTTGGCTCACTGGTATGAGAGAATAGTTGGGACCTAACATTCTCAAGAACACCTTTCGAGTAAAATTGTTCTGGACACCTTCAATGGCAGCAATATCACGGACCTTATGCGGTGAAGTAACAGCGGTGCCAAATTCAACCATGGGTCGTATATACATTTTGTAAGCTCTAACTAAGACGTTGGGGTTTGAAGTACGAAGTGCCTTGAACAAATTGTACGTTCGGGAAACGGCTTTGGAAACAATTGCGCTGTAGTGGCCGGTGAACTGAAGCTTATCATTGAAGGTAAAGCCCAAATCTTTGATTTCAGTAACTTTGATCAGAGCGGTTCCATCAATTTTATAAGATGAATCTATTGTCTTGCCACCCAATGACATGACTTTGGTTTTGTGTGGGGCTAAAGGCAGTTCAAATTCCTTAGACCAACGAGAAACCGAGTTGATACAAGACTGCAATGACTCCATGTCAGAAGAGCTGCGTATAGTTTTGTATACTTTTACATCATCTGCATACATCACACATTTGCAGCCCTCAGCTTCGACAATGCTAGGCAAATCAAAAGTATAGATAAGAAAGAGAATAGGTGACAATACGCCACCTTGTGGAACACCACTGGAAATAGAATAAGACTTTGAATAATCATTCCCGATATGAACTTGAAACGTTCGGCCACTCAGAAAATTTTCGATCCATGTATATGCAAAATTATGGACACCTAATAGCTTAAGTTTAGACAGCAATTTTGAAGTTGGAACCTTGTCAAAAGCTGTATCTGCTTTGATGGGCTGTCCTCGTGAAATCGGATAGAACCAACCATATAATGTTTATTGTGAGACCAACAATAAGAGTCTTAGAACTGCTTTGTTTAAACAAGCTTGGGATTGATCTTCTTTGGTACTGATTATAGTGAGTCGTGTTAGATGAGATAAATTACGAGAAACTTTTAGATGAGATAAATTACGAAAAACTCTTGATACACGTTCAAGCTTGTTCAAACAATATGTGCAAAGCGATTTTGAGTCTTCTAAGGGCAGATAAACCACTATATGTCGGAGTCGGACGGTGACACTAGATACCGTATTCCACGCGCGCGCCGGGGCCACCCGAGCTTGGCATGAGCTTGGCATGAAGCCAACTGCACACCGCGATGCCCTTTTTGCTACATGTAGATAATTCTTCGCGTCAGGCGTCGAACTTCATAGTTTTCTTTCCTTCAGGGACGTTTTTGAATTTTGCCTTGCCTACTATGTACCACCATGGAATGTGTACGCGGACGTTTTCTTCGTTCCATATGAATTTATCACATTGTACTCAGTTTTGTTATTTACAGCTGTCCATTTCTTCAATCGGATCGACGATGCGCGGTGTTGTTGCTGAAGTTTGCACAAAGCAGTCCTGTCCTACAATGCCTGGAGGTTCAAGTTGGTTTCAAATCCTCATATCATCATATTCATAGGGTAATTTTCCTTCATCAGAATTTTTTCATTAAACCTTCTTGAATATGTATGGAAATTTTGAAGAGAAAAAACCCTTCCTGTTTCCTGCGTTGTGAGTTTTTTCAAATCGGGGTTGTATGGTGGAGCTATGAACTTTGCGAGCCATAGGAAACTAGTTTCAGTTTAAAACTCAAACAAGCGGTGAAACCTGAGCAAATTCCAAATCTGCATTCAGTACTTTGGATGTGGCACTTCAGTAGCTTTCTGGCAATTAAGTTCACCTTAATAACTCATGGGGAAGCTAAGCTGAGAGCGTTGACAATGAGTGCAATCGGTTGTTTTAGAGGTTCATCTAGAAACCACCTTATTTTGTTATTTTTATAAATGTTAAGTACCCTCTGATTCAACAAGATTGGCAGCTGATGGGCGGCTCACGCCCTCGCGGCCGCCTCGCCTGGCTTTCTATCTCTTTCGTGCTCTCTGGTCATTGATGCCGTCTTTCCCACGCTCGTGATGGAATGTAATTAGAGAGCACGTTACGAAAGAGGTGCAGAGCCCAAGTAACCGTTCCCTCCAGCCGCCAATCCTCTTGAAAAGGATAGTATAGCAACGAGGTCTTTGAAAGACGTTTGTACAAACTGTTTCAGACGGAGAAACCCCTCAACACATCGTCGCTATAGAAGAAGCTTACACCTTGCGATGCATCAGTAAAAAATTTACGTTGTTCCATGTTACTACTGACTATTGTTACTTTTTTCGTTTAGCACAAGTTTATCGTTTATGAAGCAACATAATTACGATAAACAACAACTGATAACGTTGCTCACATATGATTACGCGTCATAAATGAATCCACACGAATTGGTGAGAGAGTAAAGCAGGTGTACAGTGTACAGAAGCAAGAACACCATAATATGCGTAATGATTTGCATTGGATAGAAAAGTAAAGTGGCCGGGTAGTTGACGGTGTACTAGAGAACCGGAAAGTGCTAGGGCATAGGCTAGATGCTAGCCTGCCTAGGCTTAGGCATAACCACAGCAGTGAAGCAAGATCGCTGTGGCGAATCGTTGACCCGGCCACACCACGGATATTGACCATTTCACTGATTCGAGCACACAGCCTTGCATCTGAAATCAAAAAACAGGAGACTGCGATCAATACTACAGCAAAAACCTCACCTCAGAATTCGAGTGAACACAAGTCTCTCAAACCATTAGCGTCTCATTTAAGTGCAAACTTCACAACCACACCCTACAATATCAGCTTGACAATGGAGCGAAAAGGTTAGGGCCAGATATGTGGCAAGACAAGTTATAAATCGCTGAACTGGCGTCTTACAAGCACAGGCACTTCTTCCAATAGGAAAGAGCATACTTTGACTATTTGTAGTCCCAAACACATCATCATCATTGTCTGCAGTTGCTACGATGATGTTTCCATTTGCGCCGATGCGAGTGAAGAGATTGAAGCTGTAAATACACAAAACTGAGTGCGATGTGGTAAAACCTGAGACAAAGAAGACGTTCGCAAACATATCCCATAATGGTAGCCCATTAGTAGGCGCGGTAACATTCAAAAAATCTCTGAAGCAAGGAAAACCATGAAGAATACGCCTGACACGAAGAATTTTCTACATGTAGCAAGAAGGGCATCGCGGTGAGCAGTTGGCTTCATGCCAAGCTCATGCCAAGCTCGGGTGGTCCCGGCGCGCGCATGGAAGACGGTATCTAGTGTCACCGTCCGACTCCGACATATAGTGGTTTATTAAGGGCAGGGCATACTTCACGCTATTTCAGTCGAGACGAGATTTGACAATATTCCAACTGTCCATAACCCACTGTGGGCTCATTTCAAATGTACAGAAGATAAGATATTTTACCAGTTCACGTTATTCGCACTATGCATGTGCAGTTTGCTAATGTTGGATCTGAAGACTTCTGGCGAACTGCCAACTCGCGTCGCGACTGAACTCGCGTGAAGTATGCCCGGCCCTTTAGGCCCGGACAGACTTTACGCGATTTGATCGTCGCGACTCAATCGCCGACATTTCCATTCATTTCCATCTCACATTCAAAAATTTCCGGCTGGAAAAGTAAATATCACAACCGAAATGCAAGTTGATCGGCATGCAATGATGTTGTAACAGTTGTCTCCTCGCGATTCAGTCGCGACGATCAAATCGCGTGAAGTCTGCCCGGGGCCTTAGGCAGGCGCTATACTCCTTGAGGAGCATGGTAGATATCTTTTCGATCAGTATGCATCAATTCGTGTAAAATCGGCTATTTTAATCGCCGATATTGGCTATCGCCAGTCGCAAATACTGGCCTATCGACTGGTAACTCGTTAGCGATCAATACCTATGGAAGATACAGTCGCCTTGGCGAGGGTCGTAGCGGTTTGCGATCGCCAGTTTTGGCGGCTATACAACGGATACATATCGATTGGACTGAAGACATGCCAGCAATCGAGAGCTGTCTGCAGTGCAGTCGCGGGCGATTGCCATTCGTAGCTGGCGATCGCCCGTCGCGGTCTGTACTCATGGAGGAGCATAGCTCCTGCCTCAGGACTCGGGCATAGCTCAGGCAATTTTGTCGTCTCGCGGTTCTCCCCACAACTGAGTCTATTGCATACTGATCGCCATCACAACAAAAATGCAAGATGATCGACATCACAACTCGTTACTGTTGTCCGGTCGGGAGAATCGTGAGACGATGAAATTGCGTAAACTCTGCGCGAGGACTTAATCCTTGCCATACCTCACCTTACCGCATTTTCAGTCACCACTCGCTGGCAGTTTGCCGGATTTCATCGAATTCACACTAGCAAACCCAATGTATAGTCCATGTATAGTCTGTACAACTATCGTAGGCTGATAATATGCCCTTTCCTCTCCACATTCAAAATACGCGCACAGTTTATGGACAGTTGAAGTACTGCCAAATCGCGTTGCGTAAGGTATGGCCAAGGCCTTAGTCTCATTTCTGTACCCAGGTTTTTGTAGAGTACAGTTTGGTTCTAATTCATCTATTAGCTTGACCATAATCAAAATTAACATCTGGGATTTCCGGGACGAAGTAAACAAAGTATAGGCGAACCATCGCACGCAAAGGCTGGACGCCGTTGCGTCCGACTAAGATAGCTTGCGCACGGAAGAGACAGCAGACGGCAAGGGGAATGAAAGAGCGCTCGGGCAGCGAGACGCCGAAAGTGTCTGTAGTGACGTCCTGTTTTTGCGTGCGATGAATGGCCTATGTATGAACATATATAATAGTAGACATGGGTCCTTACGACATGCTCTGGATCTGTATTTACTATGTCATATCGTCGTTCGATACGGTTTTCGAAATCATTTGCATGGCTGCTGTGTTCTCCTCGCTGAGCGCGTTACTTGGATTTGGGGTGAGTAAAAAGCGGCCTTGTTTGAAGACAAGGCCCAAACAATCTGGCACGTTGAGCTTCGTGAAGACTAATTTGGGGGCCCTAGCTGAGGCACTATTCAAGTGGCAGCGCAAATGAATTTTTTACGGCAAAAAAAATTATCTCCTAACCTATCTCCAGTACTTTATTCAGGGGACGACTTCATAGGCTTGCATGCTTTTACGTGGAGAGACACCGCTCTCGTGATGGGTCCCGACGCAAAAGCATGCAAGCCAAAGCAAATCGTCCGCTAAATAAGTGCTGGGACAGGTTTGGACAAAATATTCTTGGTCGTGAATGGATGAATTATTGCGCTATTGCTCGGCCGCCTTAGCTAAGCCCCATAATTAGTTCGCCCACGTGTCAGATTTTCTTTGTGCCTCCTTCAAGACTAGTCAGTTTATTATATCATTACTTTAGGACGAAGAGCGACATCCACCGTGCTTGTGCCCGCAAGTTTACGTCAGGATTATTAGCATGACCGTGGGACATCTTTTTTCAGCAGTACTACTCGCATGGACGATAAATCGGGTAATTTATAACACAGCATTGCCTACAATTAGTCTTATTAGGGGACGATCCCAAATTGCAGCGGCGAACTGAAATGAAAAGCATATCATTAGTTTGATGAACTAATTCTAAATCTATCTTCCTTATCTGCTACTGGATTCTCTGAAAGAAGTTATGAGCGGTTAAAGTGAAGACATTAGTGTCCTAATGCATAATCTGCACCGAAATTCAGCTGCGTGTGCTACTTGACAACGAGTGTGCTGAGTACAAGGGATGCACACTTTAACCAGAAAGGTACGGGTGTATGCCAAGATGAACGATAGCTGGCAATAAGCATACTGTACTCCAACGGTTGTCAATATGTCTCACATTAAGTCTTAATTTTTGAAGCTGTATGTCCTAAACTGGATTGAAAATGGTGTCGAACAGTAAGAATTAGGGCATATAGAGCTTCTAGTGTTTTTTCCAATTTTCTAGATATCATCATAGTGGAAATATGGAATTTGAAAAAGATTTGACCTACGCAGCGCATATGGCTGGCACAACCTATCGTTCATGTTGGCTGCCCCCCGAAAGGTACAGTTATTGAGAAAATTTTATTGCCCGCGCCGTGCCTTGACCGCCAGCATAGGCGAGGGTTGCGGTGATCTCATTCGCTTCAGTGTTGTTTTCAGCATTGCACAGTATGTTTTGACTGAGAGTGTCTATAGAAGTTTACAGAAATACGTTTGAAGGAGATGCGCGCTCATTACCACCTGTAAATAGCCTATATCGCGTTGGGATCCCACATCTCCAGCCGCCCCTCCCCCCCCCCCCCCCCCCGCGTTAATATTCAGAGCGAGGCGTGGACGATTGACCTATGAATAAGTGCTTTTGCACAACTATCTCAAAAAGGTGCCACTGAGCGCCTATATTTGCACTTTCAAAAGCTCGTAACTTCTCCAGAAGATTCTGCAGCAGATGTGGAAGTTGGATTGCCTTCAGCTTAAAGGCAGTGTCCAAGCAAAAAGTCGATTTCGAGATTTTGTGTTTACCTGGGCCTATTCGCTATGCTGAATCCGAAAATCAACACTGGAGAGCGCGAAAACGGCGAAAAAAGGCTCAAACGGAGGAGGGAAATTGCAGGTGGGCGGGCTGTTCACATAGTGGCATCACTCTCCCAGCTTCAGGAGCAATCTTCTCGTTTCCGCAAGTCACTCTAACATTACCACCAGCCAACTGCGAAACGCGTGGCATAAAATCGGGCGAGAAGATCACCCGAAGTCTGGGAGAGTGATGTCACGGTGTGAACGGCCCCGCCCACCTGCGATTTCCCCCTGCGTTAGGCCTTTTTTGGCATTTTCGCGCTCTCCATTGTGGTTCATCGGATTCAGCATGGCGAATACGCCCGGATAAGCACAAAATCTCAAAATCGACTTTTTGCTTGGACACTGCCTTTAACAAGACGCATCTGACAGTGGCGGTCCGAGGGGCCAAAGTTCTGGGACCGCCATTAGCATCTCATGATATGCACTTGGTTCCAGATTGCCACTGCGATTTGGTATCCTGCCCTAGTTAGCGTATTCTCACTTCAGGACGAAGAACGTGCGCAGCACAATCCACCGCGATGCACATGTCCGCATGTCGCAAGTGATTCGCCGCGGTTCTGTGTAGCGATGCGAAAGCATAATGATGAAGACGACGAAGACGGTGAAGACAAGCATGGCGATCATGACTGATCGATTTTGCAGCGAAAGTCCACGTACTATTTTGGAAATTTGAGATGTGCGTTAGTGGTGTTATGGTTACCCGCGATTATCGGATTCGATCGAGACAAAGTCGCACGACGTGCGTAAGCGGCTGCGCCGAGCACGAAAGCGGTCGCAAACAAAGTAAGTTCATCTTATAAGAGTATTTTGGTCAAATTGAACTCGGTTTATGGGAAACCATAACACCACTCAAAGTTCGGAGTTTTTTTTCCAAGAGTCCACATTTTTCTTGAAAAGTATCACTTATTTGTTGTGTAGGTTGCTACTATGTATCATTTTTCACTATTGAAGGAAGTTTTCAAAGATTTTGTATAGATTGTCTCAATGTAAGTGTCACCAGCTCTGGCAAATCGTGCTTCTGCGACCGCCTTGGTCGGGCATCGCGCCGTTCGCGACCATATCCTTTGGGCATTCTCCTGTGCCCAGCAACCTTCGTTCGCTGCTGAGACATGAGAAAATGCCCAGTAGGTACGTGCGCGTCTCGGCGAGGCAGCCAGGAAGACTCGAGCCGCTGAAACTCACTTGAACTGAGCGATATATAAATTGCTATCCACTGTTACTGTAGTGTTCCGAGTAGGAAGATAAATGTCCGCATTCTTTGCACTCATTGGTGACTGCAGACCCAGGATAGGTATAGTTCGTTTATATAATCGTGACGACGGATTTCACTGCGGACTTTGCGGCCACAGGAGCATAAAACGCTCATTCAAGAACTCATCACTTCGTTTAGCTCAGTTAATTCTATGTCTAAATACTATAATACATAAGCAAAAAAATCACTCGACTAGAAATGAAGACCAAGAAACTGCGATTTCCGGAAGTGGCGCACGTGCCGCGCGCGGTCGCGCCATCGTCACGATTTTTCAAACGCCCTATAGCGCCAACGTCAGTGGCAAATCGGCATTAGCAACTTTTTTAGGAACGGCAAGCGATGATTTTCTCATTCAAGAGATTGCTTCGGAATTTATTTTAGTAAAAAAATTTAAAACAGTCTTGTTATCCATATATAGTTTGTATCAATTCACTGCGAACGAAACATTTATAACTACTGCGCCCCATCCGCGTCGCTGGATACTTTGCCAACGTGCAGCGCTGACATTCTGAGCAATCATCGAGCAGAATGAGGAGATGCAGAATCCGGGCCCTGCCACAACATGTTACAGCGCGTCGCAACACGGCGCAAATCGTGGCGTGGGGCGCGCGCGTTGCCCCATCTTGGTCGGGACTGGTAGATACAAACATTATCAAAAGAATGCTACAATTACTTGCGGTATCCCTAAAAATATGCAGTGAAATTGAAAAGGAAGATAAACACTTGAGCGAAAATGAAGTAGATAGGAATAGAAGCATGCTGAGACCACCTGCGGTGAAATTTGAAGGTGTGCTTACTATGAAATTCTTATTAGCATCAAAATCTTGATTCTTCAGAGTTGAGCCAGAGTGCGCGGCGTACGGGCGTACGTGATGTACGCAGCGTACACTCGGTATGTTTCATCATAGGAGCGTACGCGGCGTACGCTGCGTACATCACGTACGCCCGTACGCCGCGCACCCTGGCTCAACCCTGAAGAATCAAGATTTTGATGCTAATGAGAATTTCATAGTAAGCGCACCCTCAAATTTCAAACCCATGCCCATTTCTTACGCGCAAGTGTTGCAGACACCACAAGAGCACTATGCAGGTTCTAAACGAGTTCAAGCTTTTAACAACTCAGTCGTGAATTTATTACCTTCTGTAAAATTAACAGCCATAGCAAAAGAGGGAATTATCTTCAAAACTTATACTCAAGAACATGAGCAACAACTATGACTTTTCAAAATTTAGTTTTTGGCCGCGTCTCGATCCATTTCTTCAAATTTGGAATTGCTTGAATCTTTTCCATGTGGGCTTTCACCTAAAAATTACTTCCATCATAAGAGCCATTGAAATTTGAGAATGTTCGAACAACCTCTGGAAAGCCATTGAGAAATTCTGGTATGAATGATTGTACCATAGTGGCACAAAATTCAGAGATTAGCAAGTCTACCCAAGTTACTGAATCCCCGACCAAAAAGCCTGAAATTAGGTTCTTGTTGCAGATTGATGACATGGGATGTTCTTACCAGACTTGTTCTCTTTCAAAAATTTAGTGACAAATCCAAGGAATTTGTCGCGAGCGGGGTCTGCAACGTCTTTCTGGAGTTTTTCCTGAAATTTTATGACTTAGCTCTAGGAGCAAGTTAAAACACTAGTTAAGATTTCGTTCCTGGGTATGTATTTACTGGGAGTCAATTGTAACTTGATTCGATTGCACACCTTGCGCGCTACTTCACGACGTGAGATCAGAATCTAATCATTTCATAGACTTCCCTCTGTTTGTCTTTCTGTTTTGGCTTTATTGAAAATGCACTAGCAGTAGTACACATCTTCACAGTTTGTTCCGCCGGAAAAGTTCTGGTAATGCGCTGTCATTAAGGTGTCGTCGGTTGTCGCGCGCAGCGTGCAGGCTCACACTTTAGGTCACAAAAGACTCGCGCATACTTACCACGTCACCGTCGCTTTCCCCAATAGCAGCACGCCACCAAGGTTTTATTTCCACACGGTAATCTGCGTACTGATCAGCGAGAGAATCAACAAGTGCTTCTTCGAATGGTGTTTTACCAGTATATCCTAAACGGACATTATTACAATAATGATATTCCTCTGGGTTGCGGTCTGTTTTAGGATCAGTTCAAGATTGTCACCATACGCGTTCGCAATGCAGGCCTTCTGCAACTAAATTCTATACTCGTGGTGGAACGGTGGGAGAGAGAAAGGGATTGATGGGGTGGGCAGAACTGCCCTACACATTTTTTCCAGTCTCTAAGTGGCAAAACAATGAACTGTCTCACATGTAGCTATGGGCGATTCATCGCACGCAGAGAGAGGCACCATTGCGAGCGCTGTCGACATCTCTCAGATCAAACGCATTTTCATTGCCTAACTGTCTGCTGTCTCTCCCAAACACAGACTAATTTGATCGGACGCAACGGCGTCTAATTTCTGCGTGCAGTGAATGGTTTGTAGACTCGTGGTGCAATAGATGCGTTTTTTCTTCATCAATTTCGTTTGAAGCAGTAAAACCAGAAAGTTTCTGAAGTGATTTTGTCAAGTCATGCAAACACCCGTTTCAATTCGGTTTGATTGTAAATTCTATAAAAGTCAAAGTGAATTTCGCGTGTCGTATTTTCTTTTTCGATTTGTATGCCACAAGTCTCAAACTTCCTCAAAAATTCTTAAAGGGCGTAGTTAGTTAGCGCACGACTCAGTAAGAGTCACCGCGGCACTTTAAATAAGACTTACCAGCTTTATCTTTTATGTTCGGGTACGAGGCGAAAAATTTCTTCGTAACCTTTTTCAAGAACATTGAGACTTCAACTTGAGAATCCTCACAACCTAATTCGTTTGTAGACGTAGCATCAGAAATTTTATCCTATCCTGCCTGGATTATTTCCTCATGTTTTTTTTGTGAATTATTAGCATATAAAATTTTTGCGCACGTATCGGCTCCGTTATTTCATTTATATTAGAAATTAAGTCCTTACTGAAATATCATTCAACTAACCGAATTTTCTGGCCAAAAATCGGCAAATGGCCTTTGACTGAGCTAGCTGTTGTCCATCGATCTCAAGCACTGGCATCTGTCCAAATGGCATGTCTGAAAAGAATCTCTATTGAACAAGTATTTGAAATTGCTATTGACGTACCTGGTTTTACGGGCATAAACTGCTCATGGGAGAGTCGAACATCTTCGAATTCTTGTCCGGCCAACGCAAAAATCTGAATATGAGATTTTTTAACGGTAGAATGCGGTAGATAAAAGCTCACCTGTCTAACGCATTCTGCCACACCACGTACTGGAAAGTAGGTAAGTTTATAGTGCACCATTGATTTTCTATAATCAAAAAATTTGAAAAAAATTTGTTCATCAATGATGACGTGGATGGAGGTGTAGCTCGTTTCAAGAAAAGTAAAACTAACGAATGGAATCATTACTACAGGGAAAGATATTTCTAGTGTAGGATTGCGCAGAACTTGCCAATCAAGCAATCGGGGCTTTTTCTACGGAACTCGATTCAATTTTCAAAAATCTTGGCACGGCCAGCTTTAGGCTTTCGATATCAGGCATTTCTTGATAGTTGTTCTCTTTACCTTTGCCGAAAACTGCCTTTGTCTTGAATCCAACAACACCTTAAATTCTGCGTCTCAATATTCAACGATTTACTTATTCATATTTGAGCATGTTTACTTGCAGTCCTGCTTTGGAAAATAAACAAATACTGAAACAGGTATTGAGCAAATAAACAAATATTGAGCAGTGGCGGTCCCAGGATTTGCGTCCGGGGGGGGGGGGGGGGGTGGGGGTGGAATTATTTTCAATTGAGCGTGGCGTCAGCCACGCACTCCGAATCGAGGCTCAAGACCCTTAAAATGCAGAAAAAGGGGGCGCGGCGTCAGCCACGCCCCCGAAAAGATTTTTTTCACAAGGCTAATTTGAATTTTTAAAAAATTTCAAAAATTGTTTCAATTATTTACTAAAATAAACAAGTCACTTGCGCATTTTTATAACCCATATAAGCAATTTTCAAAAATTTCGCGACCCATTCTCGGGGGGGGGGGGGCGCCCCCCCCCCCGGCCCCGCCCCCCTTTGGTCCGCCACTGGTACTGAGAGGTATGTATTTTGTCGCGCCCTTTTCTCTCCCTCTCTCTCTCTCCTCCCCTCCCCCGTCCCTCTCCATTTTTAGCCAGGTTCATGTGATTGTGATATTTGGAAGGACAGCCAGGTATAATTTTTCCTCGGAACTCTAAAGGAAACCGATAGCGAATATTTTTTTCCTGAAAGGAGCAACTTGTGTCTCTAATACATCTAAGGAAACCGACTCGTCTTTTGCTGATGTTTTTGTGTATTTTTCGTGTAGAATAATAGTGAAAACCAATGGTAGTGAACAGAGATATACAGCAACATACAACAGCAGATTCCTTAGAAAAATTGAGTGTTATGCTGCTAATGAATTACAACGCTGATAATATCCCGAAAAACTGACAGCACTACTTATAAAAAAGATCTTCTTGAAGAAAAAATGATCAGAGGTAGAGATCGGTTAATTGCTGTTTGGAACAAGAGACTACCCTTCGGATTATGGGCATCTCAGAGATGATACTCACGCTCAGAATATTGCGACTTTAGGGCTTCGGACGCCAAAATAGCTGCAACTGATTTAGCGGTCAATGCATTCTCGAAAGTTCAAGTACAACTTGTAAGAGTGTCCGCATGCTGTGAAAACAAAATGAAAAAGTCAAAAGATTGCTAAAGAGATGGTGCAAATATTAAGTGGCTGAGGAGCAAGATATTGCGAGAAGCAGAAAGTATGGCAAAGGACAAGAAGGAGAAAGATCGTATTTGCTAATTCAGTTCGCAAATGATAATAATTTTTTTCTTTTACAACGGTCAAAAAATTGCTTATATTTTCTTACTCCCAATTCATTCAGTAAGTGTTCTCGTAAACTAAGGTGGACATGAATGAGATAGACTTCTCAAAAACGGCTCTCACTTCGTCAAGCTAGCATGACTTATTTTTGCAATCTATGTATTATGTGGTGCCAAAAATTCGTTCGTACCATCACTTTTTTCGAAAGATTTGTGCTTATTTAATTATTCGAAAAAAAAAATAAATCGGCGCTTTACAATAGCAGCCAAGTGACCTTCTATTACGCATACAGTGCGGATATATAAGTTGTAGAGGATAATTAGAAAATCACTCAAATTTTGATTTGTTCTGTATGGAATCGTTAAAAATCTGGAACTTGCCCTAAAATCGAAGCTGTTGGTATTATAGGTTCTACGAACTGCTCTCTCTCTCTCTACCTCTGCAACTTCATTCTGATTGACTTCTTTTATAAAAAACCAGTCCAAAGCGCCGCTTCGCGGCGCTTTGGACTGGCTGTGTGTGCGAAGTAGGATATGTTTGAAAGTCAGAACCTTTGGAGTTTTGTGCCGTACGTTATCCTAATGAAAGGTACATCATTAACACATTGAGGACCGTGCAGATTTTTGGTTGTGTGCCTTCTGGGACCAACTCAGACAATCGCTGGGGGCAGGCGGGCACCGGAAAAATAGATTGCTGATTTCTTGCATCCCGCTCGCGTATTTTTTGCAAAGCAATCAGGACTTTTCGGAAGACCGCTTGCTGAGTCAGCGGATTTTTGAGAGACCGCCTGTTGAATTTTTTTTCGCTCTTATCTTTTGCAGATATATTGCTGAATCTCTGAGGAATCGAGAACTCAGCAAGCGGTCTTCCGAAAAGCCCTGATTGCTTTCCAAAAAATCCGCGAGCGGGGTGCGAGAGATCAGCAATCTATTTTTCCGGTGCCCGCCTGTCCCCGGCGACTGTCTGAGAAAGCCTTTTACGGAGCAGCCTACATTTTTCAAATATGATTTAGGCACACGTACCATGTAGGGCGTAGTTAAAAGTTAGCTCCCTAGCGTACAAACTTCCAGAGAACTCAAATGCTCTTTAGCTAATTCCGGCACAAACATCTGCAAGTCCCATCCCACTCTTGTCAGAAACCTACAATCCTTCTTAAGCACGATTTTTTCAGTAAAATGCAAGTGGATGTTTGCCTGCCTCCTACAGACTTTTCTATCCCTGTCTATCTATGTCTGTCTAGTACCTCCCTCCCGCAACTATATAAAAAGCAGTGAACTTGATTATGTTCATATTTCTCGTTTTCCCGCTATCCCTGAAGCTTTCACCCATCTCCCCTCCTCCTCCTCCTCCTCCTCTCCCCTACCCCTGAAGTTGTTTTCTACTTCTGCTGCTGATTAGAGGAGAAGAATAGAGCAAGGCTAGAATTACTGAAACTTTTTGGTAGCGCCTTCTATCAAATTTTTTCCTATTCTGAAGTTTCTCCTTAGAAAAAAGTCAAACTCCTTAGGTCTTCGGTCTGGTCATAATTTCGGGATATCTTCCACATATTGACATTACTGCAATGTCAGAGCTTCACATTTGGAATATTTTATCTACCCCTGCCATGAGTTTCCAACGCGTATTACAGAGAATTTTCTCCAACCGACTCTTCAAGATCGGGCAAACTGCTCTTATCCTTTCCCGAGTTGTTATAGCACACTCTTCGGATTCTTCAGTGTAAAAAAATTTGAGCAACTGGAATCCACGTTTTAAAACTCCGGGCAGCCCTTCTTTTTCTCTGTTCTCCATGCAACGAATTTCTTTTCGCAAAACTCTCCAAATTCCCCATCTCCCATTTTTGGAAGGCGGATAATACTTGACACACGGTGAATGCAACAGCCGAGAAGCATTTTGTAAATGGGAGCTTCAAAGCTGAAGTATAGAGTTAACAAAAAAATCAAAGGTTCAAAAATACAACTGAAGTAAACGCACAAATTTTTATTTGAAAATCGCTTTCTTACCAAGTCTGTTGATGAAGCCAGAATCAAAGCATTGACTACAATACTCAAAACTTTAGCCACGCATATATTTGCTACAGCGGATGTTAATTTTGAAAGCGAAATTAAATGGAATGGTGCGCGTTGATGCAATGCAGTTGGAAGGAAACTATAACAAATCGGCAGAAATTCTAACAGATTTGAGATCGTGTGTGTCGATGGTTTGGAAGCCTAACTGAAGTAATGAGAGCTAGACCAATCAGTCAACATGTATTCTAGACCGTATTGTACCACAGCCATCATCGTGACTTTTGGAAGCTTTGAGTGTTGTTTACGTATTCGAATGCAACGGTCGTCTGGCGAATGCCAAGGATCATTTCTTGATCGCTCTTTGGGGCGCATATACAGACATGTTTACGTGGACATACAGACGCGCTGACTCACATGGGGGTGCTTGCGCTTTATATAGAGTAGGATTACTAGTCTTGAGCAAGCAATACAAAACACAAACTTAATTTTTTTGACATTTTTCTCACAAACCATGACCTACGATAGAAACGCTCAATCAGTACAAACTTTGCTCAATTAAAGAAAGCATTCCAATAGTTATAAAACTGACTACTTCGATTTTTAACGCACATTCCAGATTTTTAACGATTCTATAAAGAAAAATCGAGATTTGAAATGTTCTTTCACAGCTTATAGCTCCGCGCTATATTCGTTATAGAAGACATTTCATGTGCTATTGTAAAGCGTACGATTTCCTCTTTCTGAACAACAGTTACCTAGGTGAAAATTTTCCAAAAAAAGAAGAAGTTATGCGTTTTTGAAAATGGTGCGGATCAACTTTCGGGAAGGCCTAATAAATACATAGTTGGAAAGCGAAAGATGCGAATTATCTAATAGAGTCTAGAAGGTAAAAAGTGTGCCTTGCCTTGAACGATTACTTGCACCCTGCTATCAATTTTCACAAGGTCATTCGCAAAGATCGATGTGAGTGAGATCTTGTCGCACGGTTTTGCCATTTTTAGAAACTTTTATGATTCTTGCACACTTTCAGCCTCTCCTACTCAACTGCAGGGCATTGAAAAATATTGAAAAACAAGAGCAAAGTGTAAATTTCTGGAATAGAAGAACGAATATCTCAATTCGCTGGCTCCGCGGACTGTTGGTCCTAACAGATGTACAACAGTAAAGAGAAAGGACCACCAATCTGTGGAGGAGGTACTAATTGAGGTATTCGTTCCTCTACCCAAAATTCTGGTGTCTATACCGTCCAAAGTAAAAGAGTTTTTTTTAGTTTTAGTTTCTTTCGTTCTATCTCGTAGTTCAAATTAAGCGTGCGTTTATTACATGACAACATCCTTGTACACAAAAACATACAATCACCAGGTACCACCGTTGGAATGGGATTAAAAGTCCGATTTGGGTCGTGTTTCGATCCATTTCTTGATATTTGGAATTGCATGAATTTTCTCCATATGAGCTTTCACCTATAAAAGGACGAATGGGAAACTTTCTTAAGCTTAGCATACTTACCTCAGGGTAGCCCTCGACGTACTCCGGGACAAAGTGAAGCATCATGGAACTATGTTCAGCTACAAGCAGATCTACCCATGTCACTGAATCTCCAACCAGGAAACCTATAAAAGTGGGAAGTTTAAGAAAACGGACTTCAAGGAATGGGCTGATGCAGGATTTATCTGACCGCAGTAAGTTTTGGAAGAGTTTATGAGCTTACCGGATTTGTTCTGTTTCAGAAATTTGGTAATGATATCCAAATACTTTTGGCGTGCCGGCATAAAGACGTCTTTCTTGAGTTCTTCCTGAAATTGAGAAAACTTTCAAAAATCAATCGCCCGAAGGTTACGTTGAGAAGCGACAATGAGTGGGAAATTTTTTTGAATATTTGCCACTTACCGCGTTACCTTCTTTCATTCCAGCAGCAACGTACAGCCATGGTTTAATTTCAGTGCGATAATCAGTGTATTGATCGGCTAACGAATCAACAATAGCTTCATCTTTTGGAGATTTTCCAGCAAATCCTAAAGCGGAGTTTTTGCCATGTCGTTTTAAATGCTTACTACTTTTCTACTTTTGTAGATGTTTACCATTTCAACCCTCCCCCTTTTTTGCCTCCTTCGTTCTTGAAATTGTATTAGGTTGGACCGAAAGTTCGTTCGCACCAATTTCAAAAATTCATAACTCTTTAAATTCACAACGAATTTGTGAGAACAAAATTTTGCCTAAGAGAGGAAGTCATGCCCTTTGCACCTGTGCCTGAATTGTTCGTTAACGTGTACAAACGAAGGAGATAGAAGCTGAAAACTAAAATAACTCAAAATTTGAATTTTTCGTGTAGGATCATAAGAAATCGGAGACTTGCAGTAAAAATCGGAGCAGTCGTTATCATAGGTTTTATTACCAGCCCTTTCTAACTGTGCAAAGTTTGCGCCGATTGAGCGTCTCTATGAAAAGCTATGATTTTTTTGAAAAATACCAAAATAAATCAAATTCGCCCTTTTGTATTGCTTGCTCGAAAATCAGGGAGCAGGGACCGAACGCCGTTGCGTCCAATCCAGATAGTACGTAAGCAAGAGAGGCAGCAGACGGTTAGAGCATTGCATATGCGCACCGAATGCTTTCGCCGTGGATTTAGTCTCTACTTGCGATTAATCGCCAATACTTTTGAGCTCAATTTGGAAAAGTCCTAACAAACCGAATTTTCTAGCCAGATAACGACAAATCGCCAGAGATTGAGCTATCTGCGTGCCGTCGATGTCGAGCACCGGAAGCTGCCCGAATGGGGTTTCTAGAACGAACCAATTAATAAATCGATAATGGAGGGTCAAAATACGTTCACTTTACTAACTGCTTTTCATTGGTGCAAACTCCTCATAGGTTATGCGAACATCCTCGAAGTCTTGTCCAGCCATGGCAAATATCTATAATGTAAAATCTACCACTTCAAATACCTTTATCTACCACTTCAAATACCTTTGTTCATAAAACTACCTGTCTAGCTGTTTCAGCTGCTCCACGCATTGGAAAATAAGTGAGCTTGTAGTGGACCATGGTTTTCTAAAGCGCTAAATTCTCGTTAAACAAAGATAATACAGAGAACGTAAATATGATAAAAATTTTTGCCTCTGCGGTAGAATTCGCAAACAAGCAACACATGAATAACGATAGCTACGATTCTCCAAACGGGTAGCTTAGCAACCTCCTCAATTGCTTCTTGGTCAACTAATGAATTCCGAACTAATTGTTGAACTGTGCGGTAGCAGCGCCAACGGCCATTTTTAGTGAAGTAACAAGAAATAACAAATACCACTAGTGGCGTACTCAGACTTACGCTCGTAGGGGGGGGGGGGCAAAAAATTTTTCGAATAAAGATGCGTGGGTCAGCCTCGCACTCCGAAGTATTTTTTTGGGTTGCTTCTTAGAATTTTTTCAGGCTCATAAATTCCAAAATCTAAAGAAAGGCGAAGATTTTCTACAAAGTTGATGGGAATTTTGAAAAATTTCTAGAAATTGTTTCAATTACTTACTAGTACAAACAAGTCACTTGAAGTTTTTATAATTCACTAAAGGACTTTTAAAAATTTCGCTACCCGTTTTCGAGAGGGTGGGGAGAGGGGCGTCCTAAAGGGGAACACTGTTTTCATAAAGCAACACTACAAATGACTGAGCAGGTCCAATATGCCAGCGTAAAGGGAGATAAAGAGAGGGAGGGGAGGGGGGGGGGAGAGAAGAAGGGGAGCTCTGCCGCGGAATCTAGCATTTACGCCATAGGTTACATTCACACCTAAGTAACAGTGGCATATCCAGGCCGTTGGGGGAACGGAACTTACATACCCCGATAGCTTGCCGCTATGTAATTAGCGGAGTTCACGGGAGGTCGTTAACTGGCGGCAACGCTAATTTGCACCCATTTTGCACCGAGTCCGAGTTGATTCTGCACACGGTAACTTCGTCGTCCTCCTAGCTTTTTATGAAAACGGGATTTCCTTCAATTTCGAATTCAAGGTTCAGTAGTAAATTCAATCCAACTAGGGTAAAAACTTATATTCAAGGGTATACTGTCAAGCTGTTTCCGATTATGATAATGGTTTTGCTTGGAACCTGGAAACTTTCTTTTTGAATTTTGAACTTGTTTTCATAAATTTTCCAACAAAGATCTCAAAATCTCCATTTGAGGATTTTCTGTGTGATCTGTTTCAGATGCTAATGGTTTCGCTTGAGGCTTTCGTATATTTTTCGAAATTTCAATTTTTTTTTCGTGAATTCTTTGTAATTTTGGCAAAATTGGTACTTAGGGTTTCCTGGCATGCTGTTTCCGAAAAAGCTGCTAGTTTTGCTTGAAACCACGAAAATTTTTGTTTTAGGATTTGAACGTTTTTTCCGACATTCCGCTGCCATATGATAGAATGGTGTTTTGAGCATTTTATCATCTGTCTACGATATGCTGCTGTTTTTGTTCAACTTCTTTAAATTTTCTAAATAAATTCAGCAATTGGTAGACTAATATTTTTGAAATTTAGAGAATTTCGGTGAGAATAGCCACACATGTCCTGAGAATCTGATCTGTTGATAACAGAAGGCCATGTGGGCCAATTCCGTTGGTCGAACATTGTACACAGAGACAAAATGCAATTTATTAGGTCGTGTAATAAGTTCTGTCCCATTTTTTCTTTCGATTTTTTCTCAATATTTTGCGCGATGTTCTGCAAATTGTTCATATGCATTTGAAAGCTCTAAGCCTTCTCTACTAAAACTTTCATCTCGGTTTTCTACATTAGATGACTTGGAAAAGTTTTAAAGCGTCAAATTTGGAAAACCAAACAGGGAAAAAGTCCATTTTCGACAACTACGTTACGTCGCCCTCCTAATCAGTCAGAATGCCTAGGAGTAAGCTCGAAAATTTGTTACAAGTAAGCAAAAAAGCTTGCTCTAGCTTCTATTGCGCTTCAGAAGTGCTGAAACTTCTCAAAAATCTTTTTTGTAGACTTCAGAAAAGTCTTCTTTCTAACGTCTTTTCAACGTTGGTGTTGGGCATCATCTGAAAGCATTCTGAGGGAAGAGGTAGGCGGTTCATCCAGAAAAGACGGAAGGAATGATTTGTGGCTTCAAAGTTGTCGAGTTCGTAGGTTAAATACTCAAAATTCGAATTTTGGGAGCCACACAGCTTGGGTACGCGAGACGGCGAGATCGCCGTGACATAGTCTTGTCTTGCCGACTCTTAAAAAATGTCATTAAATAGACGGTGAAAGAAACGAGAACATGCGCAAACAGTGATAGAATAAATATAAAAGTCTAATAGATCATTTTGATTTTCGTGAAGCTTGTTCAATAAGTTTTACCAATAAAAATCGAGAAAAATCTGGAGGGAAAAAGATGTCGAAAATTGATTTTTCGGCCCTTTGGATTTTTTGTTTCAATGATAAAAATCTTTTTCAATTTCCTGCTATGTTGGGAAATGATGCATATGATCCTGTAGAGCAGACTTAGAGCTTTCAAAAACATATACACTTTACTTCAAATATAGTCAATGTTGTCAAGAAAAAACTGAAACAAAAAATGGGACAGAACTTATTACACGACCTAATACATATACATCAGCGGCGGTCCCAGGATTTCTATCCGAGGGGGGGGGGCGCCGAAAAATTTTTTGAATGAAGGTGCACGCACTCCATTTTCGGTTTGCTTCTCAGATTTTTTGCGGCCCCCGAAAAAAATTTTTTACGGGGCTAAGTTGAATTTTTTAGAAATTTCTCGGCCCCCCCCCACCCCCGGCCCGAGAATGGGGCGCGAACTTTTTGAAATATACTCACGTGGGTTATAAAAATGTGCAAGTGACTTAATTATTTATGTAAATAATTAAAATAGTTTTTTAAACTTCTTAAAAATTTAAACTAGCCTCGCAAACAATTTTTTTGGGGGCAGGGACTGCACGCCTTTGGGGTCAAGGATATGAATGAATCTTTAAGTACTGAACAGAAATTCTACTTTTTAATTACCCGTTCACATAACATCGTGCATTTACCTGTAAAGTTCACTCGTTTTTCAGAAAAGGTACTAAGGCAAGAAGTCTACTCTTATGCCAACATTTTGGCTTATTGCTGCCTTACCTTTCGCGAACACAACTGATAAACGTCGAGCCTACTAGATTGAACAACGGCATTTGATGGTGTGATGATGCAAATGATCTAAAACATTATAGTCGAGGACATGCTTAGAAATGCCTTTGAATAGTTGTCACCTCTTTTAGCGAATAAGATAGATATGCCCGATTTTGAGCTTGGAGTTCCTCTTTCCACGTTCTTCACATCTGACGTGAAAATGCGAAATTTCCGGTTTCAAAGTGTGCAAAAAAAGTTTGATGGTTTGAGTAAAGAAAAAAATAAACATCGGTTAGGGAAAAGACTGATGATAGCTAGATACTGTTATATACTGTTGTTGATACTGTTCTAGCAGAATTATAACCTGCTAAGCACGTATCATTGCATCTTTCAGAAGTGATTTCATTTCAATTGGTGCCGTCGTTTTCGCATATGTGCAAAGAATGATGTGTTCAGTCAAATTTAAATATTCAATAGTTTGAATTTGTAAAAATGCTCTAAAACAACTCAGCTGTGAATCTATTGGACATCAATGCAAAGATTTGGCACTATAAATTCAAAAATATAAAGAACAAGCTGGCCAACCCGGCTTCGCCCGGTCCTGTTAATAATGTATTCGAATCAGCATGTTCACTTACCCCCCCCCCTCCCACCCTGCACATCCTGCCCACCCTGCACACCCCGCACAACCTGCACAACCTGCACACCCTGCGGAGCCTGCACAACCTGTACAACCTGCACACCCTGCACAACCTGCCACCCTGCATACTCTGCACACCCTGCACACCCTGGCACACCCTGCATACTCTGCACACCCTGCACACCCTGCACAACCCGCACAACCTGCACCTGAATGTGCACAACCACGCAAACAGATTTTCTGCTTTATATACAGGGTGTCCGTAAAGTATGTATACACTGAAATTGAACAAAATCCGACTGTTAATTAACCTTGGCATTATAATATACGATTAGTTTTTGAATTGTTTAAGCTTACCAAGGTGGTATAGAACTTAATAAAATGGCTGACGCGTTTCGGCGATTTATCGCCTTCTTCAGAGCGCTATAACGAAAGTTTAGCCGCGACAATCAAAGACTCACGGCGGTGCCACTGTCCACTATCCTGAGATAGCGGAACCGAGTAAACTGACGTGACCCTCCTCCGATGTCTACTAGTCCCCAAGATGCTGATAAGCTGTAAGATCACTTATTATGGCTATACTGTCATCCTTTCTATTCATTTGGGGGAAAACGGGCGAAGATGTAGAAAGTTTCAAGGGTTTTACGCGCTAGAATTTCAGATTCTTGCACTAAAATTGATGCGGCGACTTCTATGGTGGTGTTTTGATGACATTCTATACGATGAGCCCCTAGTGGAGCGGAGATTTTGGACTTTTGTAGACCATCCAGATGTTCTTTGACGCGAGAAATTAGTGGACGTCCTGTTTCTCCTATGTAAGTTGCCCCGCAAGCATTACATACTATTTGGTAGACAACGCCGGATACCATACATTTTCCCTGGTTAACATACGGACAAATTGGGCAAGCATTAGTCATGCAGAGACAATCATAAGAGCGATTGCGTACTAATTGCTGCTTGAGATTTGGTGGAGGTATTTCTACCACCCTTACCATATCTTGCAATCCTGCTTGAACTAAGCTTTAGTGAACCTCCCGACTTATTCTATCTGAAATAAAGGGTAGGCAGAACGAAATCTTTTGATCCTCGAAACTTGTCCGTCTAGCAGCAGAACGTCGGGATTTGTGGAACTTTTGTAGAAGGTACCCATTGCTACTTGCTACACTGTCCGCCATTTTCAAACAGTGGATGCGTTCTTGGGGTCCAGATGAGACTTGCGATGCTGTTTTGTACATGTTTTTTATAACAGAATTCTTAAACCAGCGCAGATGTGCCGAAGTGTAATGCACTAAGATATTTTTGCAACTAGGTTT